TATCCTAGATCTTGGGTAAGACCTATAAAGGATAATTGGTTTTTATATTCAGAAGGACCTTGGGGAGTGTTTAGACCATTTATTCCCAGATGTTTGAATTTAGAAACCATTATAAATGGGTTTCTTGATATTACTTTTGAAAGGACATGACAAACACACACACACACACAAAAGAACTATTATTGCCTTAATTTTATTTAAAAAACACACATCAAAATTTGCAATAACATGGATGGACCTTGAGGGCATTATGGTAAGTGAACTAAGTCAGACAGAGAAAGACAAGGTATGATCTTTATTATACGTTGAATCTAATACGTACACACACACACATATACATAATCATACTCATTGATACAGAGAACAGATTGGTGGTTGCCAGAGATGTGAAAAATGGGTGATCTGTTTGTTTTTTAGTTTAAATAAATTGGAAAAATCCACAAACTTAAGTTTTAAATAATTTATTTCTATTATTACAAAATAATACATATATTGTATAAAATTTAGAATAGTACAAGGAAGAAATTTAAAATAATGCGTAATGCATTATGGGGTGGAGCTGGTGGGCAGAGATGCGTCTGAATGAGCCATGCGTCCCAGTGTGCGCACCTTTGTGTGGCCCCTCTCCTTGAACGTGGGCTGGCTCTGAAACCTGTTTTCGACCAGTAGGACGGAGTGGAAGTGATGCAGCATGACTTCCGAGGCTCAGTCACCAGGAGCCTGTGGTTCCAGCCTGGGCCTCCTAGAACACTTGTTCTTGGCTCGTGCCCCTGTGGAATCCAGCTGCCAGGCGAGGGGAAGCCAGAACCCCGGGGAGAGCCCACATGAGCGTGCTCTGGGTGACAGCCCCGCTGAGCTCTGCCTACAGCCAGTGCCACCTGCTAGCAGGATATGTAATGTGAGCCTCTAGGTGACTGTGGCCTCAGCTGCCATGTTCCAGTGTCCACATGTGAGACCCCATGTGAGGACCGCCCAGCTACGCCTAGTTGACCCACAGAACCATGAGGGTTCATCATAAACTATTTTAAACTACTAATTTTTTTTTGGGGGGGGGGTTGTTACACAACAACAGATAACTGGCAAGGATGCGGGCTAATTTCAAAGTAAACTCATTTTAAGGGAGCATTTTGAGGCAAGAGAACTTGATGAACATTACTGCTCAGCCACACACTTATTAGCTGTGTGACTTTAGGCAAGTTATTAACTACTGTGAACCTTAATTTTCTATATTTCTTAAATGGAAATTGGGAGATTTATAAGTATTCCAGTGTCTGGCACATTGTAGGTACTAAGTAAATGTTAGTTTCCATTAAAAAACACACATATACACACATTATGGTATGTAGGTATGCATATTACAGTTAGTTGGTAACTGTACACTCATAAAAACTGAAAACTTTCTTATAAACTAGAACCACTGTATAACCAGTATTATTTATAAATCAATGTTGTTTTCTTTTCTTTTTTTTTTTTAGTCAAATTCATTGAGGTATAATTTACATACAATAAAAATACATCCTTCTTAGTATATCGTTTCGGGGTTGACAAATGAATAGTCTTGTAACCACCACAACAATCAATATATAGAACAGTTACATAGCCCCCTAACTCCCCTGACACCTCTGCCAACCACTAATTTGTTTTCTGCTCCATAGTTTTGCCTGTGCAAAAATATCATACACTAGTAAATGGGATCATACAAATGTAGCTTTTTGAGTTTGGCTCCTTTCACTTAGTGCGATATATCTGATACTATGTTGTATTAGTAATTTTGTTCCTTTTTATTGCTGAGTGTATGACTGCACCACAGTTTGCCAATTTGCTTATCCATTCAGTGGTTGGTTGCACATTTTGGTGGTTATAAAGTTGATGTAAACATTTGCATACAGTTTTGTGTTTGTTTCGAGAACATAGTTTTCATTTCTCTTGGGTAAGCACCTGGGGTGGGATTAATGGATATAGGGGTGAGTGTATATTTAGCTCAAATTTCAGAGGGAAGGCTGGGATGGGACAGGGGTGGGGGAGTGGAAGATAGGGGGTAGGAAGGGAGATTATCCAGGTAATTTATGAACATAGACCAGCCGTGGGCAAACTACGGCCCGTTTGAAATGAAAAAAACTAAAAAAAAAAAAAAAAAAAAGACCGTACCCTTTTATGTAATGATGTTTACTTTGAATTTATATTAGTTCACACAAACACTCCATCCATGCTTTTGTTCCGGCCCTCCGGTCCAGTTTAAGAACCCATTGTGGCCCTCGAGTCAAAAAGTTTGCCCACCCCTGACATAGACAATAGTGTGGTAAAGGTCTTGGGGGGGAAGAGAGTCAATGGGGGAAAAAAAGCAAAGCAAAACAAAGGGGACATCTGTAATACTTTCAACAATAAAGATAAATAAAAAAAAAGAATCTGCCAGACTGTTTTTCAAAGTGGCTGTACCGTTTTGCATTCTCACCAGCAATGTATGTGAGCTCCAGCTGCTCTGCATCCTTGTCCACATTTTGTATTGTTGGGGTCTTTTTCTTTAAATTAACATTTTACAGTGGCAATGTTTTAAAAAAAAGGGTGACATTTTTCCCCTCTAGTAGTTGAAAACTGTTCCTCTAAAATAGGGATCTGCAAATTATGGCCCTTGTTCCAATTCAGCTCACCCACTGCTTGTTTTTGTAAAGTAGGCAGGTGAGCTGAGAATAGTCTTTACTTTTTTTAATGATTGAAAAGAGGAAGAATAATGTTTTGTGACATGTGAAAATGATATGAAATTTCAGTGCCTACAAGTAAAGTTTTATTGGAATATGTCCTTGGTCATTTGTGTACATACTGTTTATGGCTGCTTTCATGCTACAAAGACTGGATGAGTAATTGTGGCAGAGACCCTGTGACTAGCAAACATTAAATTTTTACTATCTGGTACTTTATAGAAAAATATGGTTTCTTTCTTTTTAAAATATGTTTTTATTGATTTTGGAGGGAGGAAGGGAGAGGAAGAAAGATAGAAACATTAATTGGCTGCCTCCTGCACGCCCCCCACTAGGGATGGAGCCCACAAGCAGGGCATGTGCCCTGACCAGGAATTGAACCTTGTCCTCCTGGTTCATAGGTTGACATTTAACCATTGAGCCACACTGTCTGTGCAAAATATGTTTTCTTTTAAACCATTTTCAATGAAATTTAAAAAAAAAACTTCCTCATTTAATCTTTTTTTTGATATTTCAGTTAACACTGTGTGAGCATCAGTTATATGTTTTATTTAATAGAGTAGTGCTGGTGGGGACTACTGTTGATAGAACTTTTATGATAGTATATTTTATTTTTGTAGTGACTTATAAAAGTATAGACATTTATTTAAGAAGAAGAAATTTATACTCTCTCTATATATTTCTAGAGCCTTCAAAATTGATTAACTGAGTAGAAATCTTATGTAAAGTAAAAGTGTGCCACACTGGCGTTTGATGAGTGATGTGCATGAGTAAACAGATTCAGTTTTTTAAAAAAGTTTGCTTATGATTTTTAGTTATTATTATTAGTTAGTTATTACCAACTCTCTTCAGAATATGTTCCTGACATTTGCGCGAATGAGGTGTCACTTCATCTTCTTGGAAACTTGTATCAGAAGGAACTAGGCTTATTTACCACCAAACTTTGGAGGCTTGTGTGTAATGCTCAGTTCAGTCCTAATACAGTTCCTCAGTGACCAAATACCAGGGGAGTCTCCACTGGGCATTTTTGGTTTTTATTTTTCTAATGAGTCATAAAGGCTGAGTCACTTTCCATTAACTTGACTCTAGGACTTTTAGCTACATGTGGTAAAAGCCGTGCATGGCTTATAAGGAGATCTTTTCCTCTTCACTCCCTCATCATCAACAAATTTTGTTTTCTTTATTGACTCTATAGAGGAGTCCATGATTTTTAAGTGTTTTATTCATTAACTTTTGAGTAGCACCTTCTCACCAAATACTTTAAAATACTACTAGCTTTCTTTTTCATATCATGAGGTTCTATAAAATATAGACTGTTAGGGTTGGCAAATACTGTCAGAAAATCATTGTCTAGATGGGAAACCTGCAGTAGAGAAAGAGAAAGAAGGAACTTGATTAATATCCCCATCCTCCCATCTGTACACCGTGAGTTTGGCCTAACATGTGGGCCAACAGCTTTTTTGGAAAGGACTGTTCACGCTCAATGTCTGCAATTACAAATCACTTTCAGGCTTTGTCTACAAACTGTTTCTTATCCTGTCAGTGATTGCTGGAGTCTAACTTGACATGTCTGCTTCTATTGTTTTCTCAGGTTTCCATGGTCAGACCTCATTATTTCAAATTAGGCTTTAGTGTACCCACAAAGCATTTCTTGTCTTTTCTTTGTATGGTTACCCCATTAAAGCTCCACAAAGTTATCTTTGAGAGATAATTTTGGCCCTGTGTATGTTGGAGGAGACAGACTGGGGATTTAGAAGAGGGTTAGGGAGCTATTGATAGAATCCATTTTATCATGCTTTTAACATCTCTGAATTCCAAAAACGTAGTTTCAAAGGCTCTCAAGCTCCCAAAGTAGGCTAACCACTGAGGTTTAGTGGCAGATTTATTAAATAATTTGTGGGTCAAACTCGAACACTGTGTGAGTGAAAAGGTTGTAATTCTAATAATTTCACCAGAATAGGTGTATACTGATGACCATAGAGCTGAAGGAGACATTGCTGAAATACTAAGGGCAGTTGGATATGATGACTGAGTAGGGTCTTTGTTATAAAACCTTTCTGGATATGTAATGTAAAATTTTCATTGGCACTTAGAACCTAAAGGACACCTGTCTCCCATAGACTGTCTTGAGGTTCTTAATTTACTTTCTATTTAATAATTGATAACTAAATGAAACATGATATCTGTCTTGCAGAATGTGTAACAGACACTAGGGTTTTATTTAGCTATTTATGTCTGGGTATCAGAATTCTATTTTTATTTTGTTTTCTTTTTGATCCCTATTTATGGTTTCTCCTCATGTATTCTCCCCAAATGTGGGGAGCAGATGTTGAAAGGATTTGTGCAATTGAAAGGAGGTAAGAAATTCATGTACTTCTGATTCCTACTTACTTGACAGTGTGGAATATAACTGTCATTTTCTTTGCTATTTTAAATAGAAAAAGAGGCTACCTTTTTGCAATATACAGATTGCAAACACTGTGCTATACATTCAGTCTCTTTTGTTATCACTGTTCAAGTTGCCCTGTAATATTCCTACTTTTCTTTCTTCCAGACCATTGTTCCTGTAACTCCTCATTCTCTGCCTGGAATTTCTGTTTACACTAGCCAAATATAGGCTACCTGTGCCCATACCACCCTTCCCTCATCCAGTTCAAATGCTGATTCTCTGTTAAGTCTACCCTGCTTCTTTCCTATGTGTGCCTTCAATCCACTTTGAAGTACTTCATTAAGTAATACGTTAGTCTCTGTATTGGTCTACTATCTCTCTCTCAAGAGACTGTTAGCAGACTGATCTCAGTATTTCTTAGGGATCCTTACACATAGCAGGTACTCCAGAAAACTTGTCAGACTATTTGACAGCTTGTGCTCAATAGGCCGACTGACCTGAGCTAACTGAACATGGGATACCAGAATAAGAGCTATGGTCATTTGCATAAATTCACTAGGGTAGGAACAGAGGACTAGGAAGTCACTTACTTTTTCTCGTATGAGTTTTTCCTATTTCTCCAATTTCTGTAAGAGGTTTATTGGTATTAAGTTTGACTCAGGACTTAAATGCATAGTAGTCTCCTTTGGAGACAATGATCTTAACTATTTATGGATCTACTTTAATTATGTAAAACCCTATTAATGTGTGCACATTTCCAAAGAAAGTGATATGGTGTCATTTTGTCACTGTTCCTGGAGGATGTGGTTATTTTCTCTGATGGTGTTGGGATCCATTCAGAATTTTTTATGTTTACTACTAGAGGCCTGGTGCATGAAATTTGTGCACTGGGGGGCGGGTCCTCAGCCCAGCCTGCACCCTCTTGCAGTCCAGTAGACCTCGGGGGATGTCTGACAGCTGGCTTAGGCCTGCTCTATGGGGAGTGGGCCAAAGCTGGCAGTCGGACATCTTTAGTGCTACTGCAGAGGCAGGAGAGGCTCCTGCCACTATCGCTGCACTTGCCAGCCATGAGCCTGGCTTCTGGTTGAGCTGCACTCCCCTGTGGGAGCACACTGACCATCAGGGGGAATCTCCTGCCTTGAGCATCTGCCCCCTAGTGGTCAGTGCATGTCATAGCGACTAGTCATTTGGCTGTTTGGTCAATTTGCATATTAGCCTTTTATTATATAGGATTCTTCTTCTTTAGTTTTTTTTTTTTGTTTGTTTATTTTGGATTAAGAGGCAAGGTTCTTACAAAGTTTTAACTAAACAGATCAATCACCACATGTATTTTTTAAGTTCTTGATTATGAGGAGTACTAATTGTGAAGAATCAGAAAGTTTTGAGTTGGAAACTAAAATGATGAATATACAGATTGCAAACTTGGAATGGTTTATGATCAAAAGAGGATTAGAAAGCATGAGCTCAAAGGTTTTTGCTTTGCAGATGGATATATTTTAATTTGTACTTATTTTAGAATAGCTTCCTAAATTAGGGCAAACTAGCCTCTTTTACTGGTAGCTTCACATAGTGCATTAGAAGTTAACACTGCTTTAAAAACATACAGCACTACGAAAAATATGTACTTCTTAGTAGATATTATAGCAGTTTTTAAAAATCATCAAAATAATTTTGACTCTTTAAAAAAAAGTGAGGCAAATGAATCCTCTAGAGCAGAAAGGTATTTGGTCAGCTTGTCTTCCTGTTTAGATGCATGCTGCTCCTGATTTTCTTTCACTTCCTCTGCAGGAGACTCACATGAAAACCAAGTATACTGTAGGATGTACTGAAGCCAGTTTCAATAGTAGTACATACACCCGAGGCATTTAGAACACATTCCAGTTAAACATAAATAATTTGGCAATCTTCAGGAAACTTTCTGAATATAGAAGGTGTTTACCTTCCCAGGTTGTACTCTCATCATCTGACCCCAGGTAAACCTTTTAGTAAATGGCACAGGCTACATTTATATTCACTAGACAGTAAGTGACTGATAACATGGTCTCCTTTTACTCTGATACTGAACGCTCTGTAAGAACTGCTAGCTGAAAACAGGAAAAGTCTACCTTTTTATAAAACATCAGATTAAATGAAAAGCTATTTTAAGATTTATGAGGGTTAAAGCTACTGACAGATGGATAAAAGCAGATGTTAACCATTTTTTGTGTGTGTGTTATAAATAGTAAAATCAACAGCAACAATGAAGAAAGCAATATTTGGTGCCAGAGAAAGTTAACACAACAGTCATCCTATATGGATAGTTTTTCATATAGGCTGTGACTATCACATTTTAGATGACATGCTTCTATCAAAGAGATATACTCAGCTATATTTCATACAACTTTATATTTGAATTGGATGTGTTCTTAAAGCAAATTTGGACTATTTCTTTATAGGTTGAGTTTCTGATTTGGAAAGTGACTTGTTAAAGGTCACTTGGTGAGCTCTGCTGACAGCCAGAACTAAAATTCTGACAGGTATCTGGGATTAAAACAGGGTTCTTTGTACTTCAACTTGTTTGTTCCTTACATGCAACGTTAAAGCTATAACATTTCTATAATTTAGAAAAGAAATATCCACCTTTCTTACAGGTGGATTTGACAAAAAGCTTTTAATAGAGTGACTCAAATAATAGGAAAATTGTTTAGTTTTGGGCATGCAATATTTTAAATCTTCTTATTACTATGTTGTTTAGATTTTGATTGGCTATACTTCGACTCAATATTCTACCCTCCTGTCTTTCTTGATGGTGATACTTTGATGTTTCTTCTACATAAACTATAATTACATGACTTTCACATAGAATTGTACTTTGCTTTCTAATCCTGGACATTCAACTGAAAGAAGTTCGGAGTGGTGGAGCTTATTAAACTATTTAGACAAACTTATTTCCCTTTCACTCAGGCCCACGTCTATATGAAGCTTGTTCACCCTCAGTTGGACATAAAAGGTTAGAAGAGTTATAGAAATGTAGTGACCTGTTGATTATGTTGCAGTTCCTTTCCAGGAAACATTTCCAGACATTCATAAGAGGAAGTAGAGATTGCATATTCCATACAGATTTTATGCCACAAAAGTGACTGGATCTGTGATAATCAGTGACTTAGTGGGACCTGACTAGTAGAAACACTTAATATAAAATAACTAATTGTAAGAATTCATTATCTCTGTTGATGCCGATATAATAGGCTCCATTTACTGAACTCCCTCTTATTGAATGACATGTTTTCTTTGGCCCTTCACTTACCTAATTTAATCTTCACAATATCTACCTCGTTTTATAGATGAGGAACCGGAAGCTCAAAGACATTACATAACTAGCCCAAGGTTTTTAGCGTATAAGTAAACAATATTTGAATCTTGATCTGTAAAGTTGTTTTTCTTCTCCAAAACACTCTTTAAACACCAGGCAAAATCCAAAACAATCAAGTTGCTACTTTATGCACTCTGTTAAATTTTGTAGTATTGAAGACATCTCAGTTTCCTCCTTATGGAGTTTACCACTAAGCTTCAGTTTTTGCTTCTTTCTTCCCATAGCACCAGCTGAGTTTCCAGCTTTTTTGGGAATAGAGAACTATTTAACTTAAATACCACTAAAGTAATACAGATTTTTTTCTCAAAAAAAAAAAATATCCCTATTTAATGAACTACATAGAGAGTCACAGTGCTTATTGAGAGAATTGGTTCTTAAGATCAATGCCCAACTCCCTGTTGTTTGCATAGGAGTTTTCTGGGTGTACTTTGAGACATCTTCCAATTTATTTTTGGGTTGTTTCTTTCTTCTGCATAGACTCTATTTGTAGGAGAGGGAGTCTGATTTTAATGTAAGCCTATTTGCATTATAATCTATATATATAAAGAGCCAGGGGCCATCGCAACTGAACGGACAACTGAACAGGCTGAGTGGGGCGACAAGGCCTGCAGGGGGGTTAGTGAGGGACGACCAAACGACTGAACAAGCAGGCTGTGTGGGGTGACCAGGCCACAGGGGTTTAGTGAGGGACGACCAAACGACTGAACAAGCAGGCTGTGTGGGGTGACCCAGGCCGGGGGTTAGTGAGGGATGACCAAATGACTGAACAGCAGGCTGTGTGGGGTGACCAGGCTGGCTGTGGGGGGCAGTGAGGGATGATGAAGCAACTGAGCAGCAGGCTGTGTGGGACAACCAGGCCGGCAGGGGTAGGCTGTGAGGGGCGACCAAGCCGGTGGGGGGGGGCAGTTGCGGGTGACCAGGCCAGCAGGGGGGGCAGTTTGGGGCTACCAGGTTGGCAGGAGGGGCCTTTGGAGGCGACCAGGCTGGTGCAGGGGGACCTTTGGAGGCAACCAGGTTGGCAGGGGGTGCAGTTAAGGGTGACTAGGCTGGCAGAGGGGGGTAGTAAGGGGTGACCAGGCTGGCAGGGGGACAGTTGGGGGCAACCAGGCCTGC